TCCCTGCTCAGCGGGAAGCCTGCTTCTCACGCTCCCCCTGCTTGTGTTCCCTCTCTTGCTGTCTCTCCCTCTCTCTGTCAAATAAATAAATAAAATCTTAAAAAAAAACAAAAAAAGAAAATGAAAAAGTACTCAACCTCATTGGTAATCAAGGAAACATAAATTCAAATGAAAAGGAGACACCATTTTCTACTGACTAGAAAAAAATTAAAGGCATGACAATATCAAGAGTTGGTGAGGGTATAGAGTAGTTGGATCTCTTAGACACAGGTAGGAGTTGCTATTTCTATTTTGGGAAACAAGCTAGCATTACTCATATAAAGTTAGACATGTGTATACCCTACCTTCCAGCAAGTTCTTAGATATATATTGAAAAGAAACTCTTGGCATGTGTATTTGAGGAGATATATAAGAATGTTCACAGGAGCTATTTTTATAGTATAAAACATTGGAAACAACATTAACATTTGTTGGCAGGGTAATAAATAAATTACGGTGTGTTCCATATAATGAATTCGATGCAGCATATTGTGAATTATGGCTACATATATCGGTTGGATGAATCTTGGGAATGTGGGTTTCAACAACAAAAAAAGCAAGTTGCAGAGATTACATATTCTATAATTTCATTTTACACAAATTTCAAAAGTGTACTAAATATTGTACCAAACAGAGCAGGAGAATAATGAAAACAAAATTCAGGATAATGGGTACCTCTGGAGGGGTTAGGGAAGCAGCATGTCATTGGGGTGGACCACATGGGAGTTTCAAAGATCTTGGAAATTTTATATTTATTTAGCTGGTGGTGGATACACAGATATTCATTTTATTGTTATTCTTTATATCTTACATGTGGTACAAATATTTTTTGTAGGAATTAAATATTTAACAAAAATTGAGTCTGTCATTATTGCTTATTATTCTTTGATAGGCTCACATTTTCTTTTATCATGCCACTTCTAACATTCAGAAAAATATCTTGAGGATTTTAATTAGTAGTAGCCTACTTAATCTATTTATTAAATTGGGGAGAATTCTCTTTTTTGCTCTATTAAGTTTTTCCAGCTAGGAGAGGTAGAGCTCTTGATTTTATTTCTCTCAAGGTTTTCTTTTCTTTGAGTAAGTTATTGTGGCTCAAGTACATCCAAGAATTTAATATAATGCTTTCATTACTATCGTGAATGGAAACATTTCCCTGTGTTTCTGAGCTAAGACAATGGCTTGCATGTTGAGATTCACTGATTTCCCCCCAAAACTACCCCTTCCCTTTGGATTTTCCAGGTAGGCAAACATGTCATCTGCAATATATATTTTTTTCATTTTCTATATATTACACCTTTTTGTTTCTTCCCCCCCAATAGCATGATATATAAAATAGGAATGATAACAGAAAGCTTCAGACTTGGGAGTCAGAAGACATGGGTTAGAGTCCTGACTTTACCATATAGTAGCTGAGTAACTTTAGGCAAGTTAACTTAATCTGACTCTGTTTCTCCCGTTTCTTCATCTGGAAAATGAAGGGCTGAACTTAATTACCAAGGTTAGTTCTGGTTCTGAAATGAGGCCATTCTCACGTATTTCCATTAAGTTAAAGTTGCCTCTTTATTTTAAATAGTCTCTCTGCATTGCAGGGTTTGACTTTGTTTTGTCTGTAGTTTTAATCAGGAATAGATGCTATAGGCTATTGAATGCCATATTGACATGTACTGGGAAAATTAGATTTGAATTGTAGATTTATATTTTCCATATTATGATGAAGCCAGGGGTCACCTTGCTCATATTGTTCCTGTCTTCCAAAGAGGTAAATTGTCCATATTGTTCCATATAGAGGTAAATCACTGAAGGTGAATCTTTGGCTACGAGTGCAGATTTGGTTAGTTACGGTTTCATTTCAGATTTTCCTGTATGTTCACGAGTTAAATTCTGTCCATATGTTTTTGTTCTTTTTTCTTTTTGTGTGCTGCCCTGGTTCACTCCATTTTTTTCTTTTTAAAATATTTTTGTGCTCTTTATGTAGAATAGGGATTATTGACTTATTCTTTAAAAAGTTGGGGAATTATTTAAGGACTCCATCAGGGCCAGAAGATATTTTAAATGTTTGACCTTGTTTCTTGTGTGGATCCACTCACTTATTGGGCCTGTTTGAGGAGGGCAGCCAGTTGGTGCAGCTAGGAGGCCCCTTGTCTGGGACCACTCGGGAGTTCTGCTACTAACTACCTCCAGAACCTAGAGCTGGTCACTTCCATTCTCTGACTTTTCTCATCTGTAAAATGGGAACTGCAGCTGCCTCCCAGATGAGGTGTGAGGCAATGGTGGGCATGCTCTGTAAACTCCCTGCCCTCTCTCAGGGAGGGGGCCTGGTAGCAGATTGGGCAGCTTGTATTTTTACAGGGGCTTGTCCATTTCCACTCAGTTTCCACACTCATTAGAAAGAGCTAAGACTTAATAAGCCTGTTGCCACATGCTTTTGGAATATTTATTTTGCAGATTTTTTTGTTTACTTTTTTCTTAAAGAAGGGGGGCTTTATTTTTTTTAAGATTGATTGATTGATTGATCAGAGAGAGAGAGAGCACAAGCAGGGGAAGCTGCAGGCAGGGGGAGAAGCAGGCTCCCCGCTGAGCAAGGAGCCCAATGTGGGGCTCCATCCCAGGACCCTGGGATCATGACCAGAGTGGAAGGCAGACGCTTAACTGACTGAGTCACCCAGGCATCCCAAGGGGTGGGGGGGGCTTTAAATAGAAAAAGGGTAGCTTTGCATTATTTCCTGTGAAGTTAAATTTTTTTTCCACTGATTTTTATTTATGCCACTAATAAGAGAACTCTTATTATAATGCAAGGGTGTCTTTTCTTTCTACTTTATTGTGGGAAAACTTTGGAACCTCTTTTCTCAGGATCCTCATGGATTCATTTATATAGCATTTCCCCCCAAAAGCTTTAAAAGTTAGCTTAATGCTTTTTAAGAAGTGGAGCTAAGGGAAATAATTCAGAGCAACTGAGATTAATTTTATTTATTAACAGAAAGCTCATAAACAAGAACGTTAAGTTATATGAACAAGGATGTATTTGTCTCCCTTTTCCAGAATATATACTTCCCAGCTCCTAGATTGAAGCCTGGCAGGTTGTTGCTCAATAAGTATTTGTTGTATGACTCAATTAATGAATATGGAGAGCTTTAATATTTAACTTTAATATGTGCATGTTTTTCTTTATTGAGACTCAATAGTAGGTGCTCAATAAGTATTTGTTGTATGACTCAATGAATATGGAGAGCTTTAATATTTTACTTTAATATGTGCACGTTTTTCTTTATTGAGACTAATGCCTTATTAGCTTATCATATACATGAATATTATTTCTGCTTATGCAATCTGTGGCTTTTCTTTCTCAGTTTTACTCATCCCTGCTGCTGGCTATGGTATTGTAACACTTTCTTTTTCCCCTGTTGGTCTTCTCCACTCCCTCCTTCTAGACTCGTTAGATGGCTTCTATTAATCTCTTCTTCCTTTCTTCCTCCCTCCCTTTTTTTCTTTCTTTCCTTTCTTTCTTCTGGTTCTTCCTCTATCACTCATGTATTTCCTATTCATTCATTCATTTATTCATTCACTTAAAAGATATTATTCAAAAAAGCACCTACTCTATGCCAGACTGTTAGGCATGGGGGAGACAGGGGTGAACAAGATGGTCATGATCTCTGGGGTCATGGAATTTAGAGTCTGACAGGGAAGACAGGCCTGAGCAGGTACATTTCACAAATACCTAATTATAAATTATGACAAATGCTATGAAGGCTAAGCTTGTTGGGGGGAGCATGGAGCTTTAGGAAAGGCTTTCATGAAGCTGTTGTAGCTGAGATCTAAAGGGAAATTAGGAGTTGGTGGGAGTTCCCCTCAGGGAAGAGCAGGGGGAGGGCTGGGTTGGGGGAAGGGCTGGGTTGGGGGAAGGGAAGCGAGGTTTCCCTGGGAGCCCAGAGCAAAGGGAGTGACTGGAACACAGGAGCACAGCGGGGATGGACAAGGGGACTAAAGGGCACAGGCAGGGTTCCTTCATATCCATCTTTCAGTCGGGACTCCTCCTCTAGGACCTGCCTGGCAGAATCCCACGCTGTGACAAATTGCACTGGTTGTCGCAAATGGTCTGTGTTACAGATTTCCTTTCTGCATTTTTAAGTCATTTAAGAAAATATTTTAATTATATGTAATTGGTAGTTGTGTCTTTGGGCAAGTCACATAACCTCTCAGAGCCTCAGTTTTCCTGAAATGGGAGGAATTTCGTCTACCCCATGGGTTCCTCTGTGACCTCTGCCAGGTCACCCTGTGCTTATCTGTTGGAGGCCCATCTTCCTCCCAGACTGAGAGCCGGGGAGGGGGGGGTCTAACTCACCTGTGTACTTCTGGCTCCTATGATGGGGCCTGGCATGGAATGAGAGGGCATCTGGGAGGCCTTCACAGAAGAGGAAGCCCCAGGGCTGGGCCCAGAGGCCAAGCTGGATTTGAGGGAGGGGGAAGGGCTGGAGAGGTGTGGACAGACCCAGGGTCTGGAAAGTGGCAGATAGGCCAGTGAAGACCAAAGCAGAGAGGTAGTAACAATAACAACAATAATGATAGCGCTGTCTTACTGGGCCCTTGTCATGTGCCAGACGCTGGTCTAAATGCCCTACATATACTCATTTATCCTTTCAGTGACCCTACGAAGTAGGTACTATAGTTATTCCCATTTTACAAACGAGCAAACGGAGGTTCAGAGGGATTAAGTACCTTGCCTAAGGTCACATATCTAGTAAGTGTTGGAGCCTGGATTGAAGACCAGGCATTGTGGCTTCAGAATGTACAAGGCAATGAATGTAGAGAAGTAGGAGGGGCTTAAATGCCAGGCTAGAAGGCCCCTCCAGTCTTTATTGTACTGGTTATGGGAGCCATGGAAAGCTTTTGAGGGAGGGAGTGCTAAGGCTACACTCCGTGTGCCCAGGAAAGCTGAATGTGACTGTGCCTCTCTCCTGCAGAAATCATCCGTGGAGCAGCCCCTGTACAGCAGCAGCCTGTGGGGCCCTGTGGCCGATGGCCGTGACCGCGTGGCTGAGGGCCTGTGGCTGCCGCAACTACACGTAGGGGACTGGCTGGTCTTTGAGAACATGGGCGCCTACACTGTGGGCATGGCTTCCCCCCTTGGGGGGACCCAGACCTGCCGAGTCACCTATGCCATGTCCCGGGTGGCCTGGTAAGGGGGCCCTGCTGAGAAGGGAGTGGGGGAGAAGGGAGCAGGCGGGGAACAAGAGAAATCTGAGATTTGAGACTGGTTTCCATGTAATCCAGTTTGACAAGCAGCTCTTGGCTATTGATTCCAAGTGAGGCCTGCGCTTGGCACCTGGCCGTGGCCATGAATGAGACAGAGCTTCCCTTGAGAAGCTCAGCACCCTGTGAGAGACAGAGAAGAGCAGAGAGTCACTCCTGATAATAGCGGGGGGTGAGGGCGGGCTGTGGAACCTGAGAGCCCAGACTGACCTCCCAGAGGAAGGAAGATGGTAGATGAATGGGAGTTAGCCAGCAAGAGGCAGCACGGGGTTCCGGGCAGAAAGAACAGGGAGTGAGCATGCTGGCTTCAAGAAACTACCTGAGGTTGGTTGTGGCTAGAGAGGGAGCAGGGCTGGCTCTGGGAAGGGCCTTGAAGGCCAAGTGAAGGGCTCTGAGCAGTGGGAAGCATGGACTGATTTGAAGCAGGGGAGTGACATGGTCTGGTTTGGATTTTAGAAAGACCACTCTGGCTACTGGGGGCAATAAGGGAGGACAAGGGCAGACGTGGATTGAGCTCTGTGGCCTGGGAAAGACTTGCCGGCTGGCTGAGCCTCCTTAGGAAACGCACACAACACTCACCCCGCTTGCCTCACTGGGCCAGTGCTGGGATCCAGTAAGCCAAGAGGGGCACGAGACAGACAGAAGTCACTTTGGTTGAACCCTCCTGTCTGGCCTTCTGTCAGTCATCTCCTCTCACCTGCACAGAATCGTGCTATCACAAGGACAGAGGTTTGGTCAGTGGTGATGAGCCCCCTCTTGGGGCTGGAGATGCCTACAGGGGCAGCAGCAGTTGATGGGACTTCTATGCTGGGCCTCAGGAGTGAGTGCAGCCTGTGTTCTGGGGGACATGCTGGGTGCTTGAGCACCCTGCTCCCCAACAATGCTACCAACCCCCAGCCTGATGGGGCTCAGTCTCAAAGTCACATTTCATTCATTCAGTCAACAGACCTTTGTTGTGTCTACTCCCCACGGGGGGCACAGGATTGGGCTGATGCAGCCATTGTGACATCAGGGGTGTTGTGACAAGGCCTGAACCAAACTTAAAAAGCCAACCACACAGGCCTCCTTATACCATCCCTGCTCCATCATAAGCAAATACTGGCAGAGGAGGTGCAGGGAGTCCATTTATTCATTGCTAGAAACAAAACATTCTGATGTATTAAAATGGCTGTGCCAGAAATTCCCCATATCAAAGGCGTCCCGCCCAAACGCCCTGCTTTAGAGCCTGGCTCTGGGCCGGGTCCCGGGGGACAAGAGAACCCAAGATGGCATGGTGACCTTCGCACACAGACGCTGGTGCAGAGAGCAGAAAGGTCACTGGGGAGCGAGGGCCAGCGGGGTACGGACGGGTGGTCAGGGCTAGGAGGTGTTAGCCAGCCGCAGGAAGGCTGACGGGGGTGGTCCAGGCTGAAAGAGGTGGGGGTTTGAGTCCCGTTCATTCAGAGAACTGCAAATAGTTGCATCTGGCTGGAGTGGCCTGTGCAGAAGGCTGGATGGAGAAGGACCCTGGAGGCCCAAGTTGGACTTGATCTCGAAGGCAGTGGGAAGTCTGTCATTGATGCTTTTTAAGAAACTGGACCAACCCATTCTGAGAGATAAGGAGATAGACAGAGGGTGCAGGGTGCCTGGCCTGGGGAGCCTCCCGCCGGAAAGAACAGCCTGACCACTGACTTGCTGTTGAAGTGTACACATCAGCAAGGAGGGCGGCCTTCCCGCAGGTGGGAGCCTGGGCTGGGCAGGGCCTGAGGGCAGACGGAAGCTACTGGCGGCTCAAGTGCAGGAATTCGCCTCCTGGAAAAATGGACCTGGGCCAGAATTGTCTGGAGGAGGCAGGAGCAGAGCAGGGAGACTGTGTAGCCCTGGCTAGAGATGGTGGTGGCCCTGGGAATGGAGAGAGGAATAAGGCAGCTCAGGAGCTGGGCTCGGCAGGGATGGCCTGGGGACGGGAACAAGATTCCAGACTTGTGGCTGAGCGGCTGGTCAGACGGGGGGGCCATTGATCAACCCGGGGAGGTAGGTTTGTAGGATTTTTGAGGGGGGCAGGAGAGGATTTTTTTAAAGTCCTAAGCCTGGGATATAAAGACTGTGGCCTTTGGACTGAGAGGGTCGTGTTGAATCCTAGTTCTACCACCTTCTAGGGATGTGACCTTATGCAGGTCACTTCTCTCTCGGCCTCAATTTCCTCATTGGTAAAATGGGGATAATAATGCCCTTCCATGGTTTGGGGGAGGACCCAATTAGATGCTGTAAGTAAGGGGCCTGGCACAATGTGTGGCCTGTAGTAAGTACTGAATAAATGTGGGTTCCTTTTCCCTTGTTGTAGGGGGGGCCACAGGGGACAAGAGAGCGGTGGGGGAAGAGGTTAGCTGACCCACCCCTGCTCCTGCCCGAGGCTATGCTCTGGGGCCAGGTGGGAACCGTATATACAGAGCGGGCTGGCTCTGCTGGTGCAGGGGCCTTCAGGAGCCCCTGGCCTGTGGGCCCCATGCCGGCTGCCTCCAGTGCCCCTCTCTCGCCCACAGGGAAGCACTTCGAGGGCAGCTGCTGCCTGCAGAACAGGAGGAGGACGCTGAGGGCATGTGCAAGCCTCTGTCCTGTGGCTGGGAGATCACGGACACCTTGTGCGTGGGCCCTGTCTTCACCCCGGCGAGCATCATGTGAGCGGACCCTGTTTCCCCCCGGAGAACTCCAGCGGGGCCGCAGAGATGCCTCTGGGAGATGTGGGGAAGGCAGCAAGCAGGGGCACCCTTTGGCCAGGACTCTGGTGCTCACTCTGCTGCCCCCACGCTCCACCTGTAGTGTTTCTGCCCTGTAAATAGGACCCGTCTTACACTCGCTGTAGTTCAAGTATGCAACATAAATCCTGTCCCTTCCAGCTGTGTCTGCTTCCTCTGCAGCGCAAGGGGCCTGGTCAGCCAGGTGTGGGGGTGTTCTTGGGGTCTCCCTTGGTCTCCTTCCCACCTTTGTAAATATGAAGCAAATAAATATTTAGGGTTTTTTTTTTAATACTCCAGTGGAATCTAGCAGTTCAATTCACAAAGCAGCCTGGGCTAGGCCAGGGCCAAGACTTTCCCACCCTACACTGATGACCCCATGCCCTCTGCTTCAGTCCTGACCCAGCTGCAGTGTGGGCATCTCCCACCGGCACCCAGCTTCTCTGACTCTTCTCTGTCCTCTGCACAGGCCGCTATGCCTGGTGTCATGAGGAAGAGTGAGCTGTTAGGGGTTGAGGCAGGGGTCAGAGCTGCCATCCTTCAGCCCTGGAGCTGTAGCTCCCGACTGGTGGGGGGCCTCTATGTGAACCCAACACCCCGCCTAAGGCCTGGTGCAACGTGGGGGCAACTGAGTACCTGACACAGCTTTGGAAATTCATACTAAAGAGCAAAGAGGGGTGTCAGAGACGTTCTGAAGAGACCCTGCACCCTTACTGTCCTCGCACATCTGCAAGGCAGTAAGAGTAATGCAGGTATGGGTGATTGGTTTCACTTATTCAGGCAGTAACTGCCAGAGCCGGGCTGGCCACAGAGCACCGCCATCTCCAGTGCCAAGGGCCCTGACACTGATGTCCCCTCAACTGGAAGTTCATTGTCACTGGTAGGGTCCCAGGCGATGCACCGGGGGGGCGGGGGGGGGTGAGCTGCTTAGCAAAGGAGATCAGATGTTAGAGTTCCCCCTGCTGCTACAGGGGACCTGAAAGATTTTTTTCTTTTGTAATTAAAAAAAATTGAAATATAAAATTCACATACCTTAAAACCCACCCTTTCCAAGTACAGAATTCAGGGGTTTTTAGTATATTCACAGAGTCTGCACAGCCATCACTACTGTCCAATCCCAGAACATGTTCATTACCCCGAAGAGGAACCCTGTGGCCATTAGCATTCACGCCTCACTTCCCCCTTCCTCCAGCCCCTGGCAGTCACTGATCTATTGCCCATCCCTGTGGACTGGCCTGTTCTGGACATACCATTATGAATGTTTTTATACCTTCACTTGAGCTTCTCCCTGGGTAAGCCTGGTACGTGGGGGTTTTTTCCCCACACTGCCAAGCAGTCCTCCGACACCAGCTGGGTGTCCCGCAATTCAACTCGATTCTGACACTACCGAGAGATAGCTTCAGATCCCACAGGTTAAGGACTCAGTCCTACAAGACCACCCCACTCTCCCCCCACTTCAGACACTGATCTCCAAGTCCAGGTCGTGACCTGTGTTTGGACCAACCAGCTATAGATTGGAGGTTCCAATAACCCCCTTCCTTGGGTTCAATTAATAGGCTAGACTGGCTCACAGAACTCAGGGCAACACTTTACTTACTATGTTACTGGTTTATTATGAAAGGATGTAACTCAGGAATAGCCAGAGAAAGAGCTGCAGGGGGCAAGCTCTGGAGAAAGGGTGCAGAGTTCCCGTGCCCCCTAGGCATCACTCTCCTAGCACTCCCATGTGTTCACCAGCCTGGAAGCTCCCCGAACCCTGTCCTCTGGGCTTTTATGGAGGCTTCATTACCTAGGCAGGACTGATTAAATCACTGGCATCAGTGACTGAACTCAATCTCCAGCCTCCTCCCCTCCCCAGGGTTTGAGGGTAGGATATAACAAAAAACACCTTTGTCGCTCTCGTCACTTAGGAAATTTTAGGATCTCTGTGCCAGGAATGGGGATGAAAACAAAACACGTCTGTTATTGTAAGTCACAATATCATACCTGGTCAGCCAGTTTCAGCATCTCAGCCAATCCTGGGTCCTGCATGTGGCTCTGAGGTCACCTCATGAGGCAACGTGTTCTGAGTGAACTGGGCGCCTGTCAAAAGCAGAGATGCCTTTTCCAGGCTGGGCCTAGTTTGTGGTACTTCGACAATAAACAGGCTGAAAGGTCAGGACCCCAAGAGACTCGGGGACCAAGCAGACAGGGTCACTGTACTGCCCGCTGCTTCTCTACCCACCACCAGGTTTTGCATCTTACCGTGCCGGGCTCGGCCCCCGAGCGTGAGGCTGTTTCTGAGACTTCTTCCGTTTTGATGCCCGAGCAGATCTGGACCCGCTCATGCTCCTCCTTTGGAGGAGAGGGAAGGAGGGCAAACACAGGTTGTGCTGGAACCGGCCATCTGCTTCCAAAAGCAGCAGATGCACTGCTAAGACTGCTGGCTGCAGGGAGATCCAGGCAAAGCCCTTGGCCTCATCCGAACGAGGCGGGTTCAGACAGGTTCGCTGGGGAGATGCTTCTCTGGCTTTTAAAGCGACAGCCGCTGGCACGGAGTTTGAACGGATTCCTCACTGGAGCCTTTCAAATGTTTCATGTTCCATTTGCTGCGAGAGTGTGAAATTTATACTTTTCTGAGAGAACGGTATACACAGAAGTTGCTGTGATTTGCTTGAGAATAATAAACAGTCATTTCAGTTGTTTTTGTTTGTCATTTCTATCTTTTTGTGAAGAGAAGAGTATTAAACAGGTGGAGGATGTGAAGGCCCTCAGGCCTCTCCAGGGAAATCTGACTTGGGTCTCCAGGAGCCCGGGCTGCACAGGCATTTGCCTCCTTTGAGCGCCTCCCTAAGCAGGCCACTGGCAGTGAACTTGCATGCCATGCTGGCTGCCCCGGAGGTCACTTTCCTGTTGGCTTCTGCCAGACCCATCCTGCCCTGGGACACCTAAGGGACACCCTCCTCTCAACACCTCCCCACAACCCATCTGTACCTCCTGAGGCTTCTCCTGTGGGCTCACTCGCTCGCTCACTCATTCTGGGAGGCTCACGGACCTGCTCCTGCCACTCCCGGACCAAGCTGCCACCCCTCTCGCCCAGGGACTGGCCCCCTCCTGCCCCTCCACTGTCCACTCTGCTCAGCACTGGAGCCAGTTGCTGCCGCAATTCCCATTTCATTGAGAATAACATTTAAAATCCTCATCCAGCTACTTCTCTGATTCCTTCTCCTCCTCCCTTACTCACTCCTCCGCAGACACACTGGCCCCTCCATTCCTCAAACACTCCATACCTCTGTGAATGTTTAAGCATTACCTAGCAAAAAGGGAGAGACACCCAAGCAGAGACCTGAGAGAGTCCTTCCCATGCTGGGCCTGCACATGCTGTCCCCGCTCTCTGAAATGTACTTCCCGGGTTATCTGTGGGGCTCACTCACTTCCGGTTCTACTCAAATGTTTTCTCCAGGCAAAAGCTTCTCTGATCAGTCTTTAGAAAACAGCACTTTCCAGTCTTTCCTCCCTCAACTGGTTTTCTTTTTCTTCACAGTACCTATCAGCACTCGCCACCCTCCATTACATGTTCTTCTGTGCATCATCTGTCAGTGCCTCCAGAATGTGAGCTTGGCAGCAGGAACTTTACTTTTTTCACTGCTAGGTCTTCACTACTCAGTAAGTGCTCAAAAAGCGGATATCAAATGGACAAGTGAACAAACCTAGCATCAGACCTGTCTGAATCTGCTTCCTCCTTTGTAAAATGGAGCTGCTCAATATATTTCCCTCAGAGGGCTATTGGTATAAAGTACTCAGCTCAGAGCCTGGCACATCATTAGGTGCTAAGTAAATGATGCTGAGACGTATTCCTTGAGCATTTACTGTGGTCATGCCCTGTAGTAGACGCTGGTGATGCAGAGATGAGTCCTCAAGGAACTCACAGTGCAGTGGGGTCATAAAGGACCCTGAAGGAGGGGAAGGAGTCTGACCTTAATTCTGTAGGCAGTAGGGAGCCCCGTATGCTTCTGCAACAGAAACATGACAGGATCTGTGAGAAGGTAATTGAAAGTATATTCAAAAGGGGCAGAAGGAGAAGAGCTGGTGGGCTGGTGGCCGCCAGGGAACCTTATGGAGGTCCCAGGGGTACAAGTTGTCATCTCTGTCTGTGCCTGTTCTGGAGGGAGACTGTGCCTCTCTGGGTGTCATCCCTCCCTTTGGAAGCTCAGGCCAGCTCATTCAGTTGTAAAAGGACCACAGGGAAGGCCACAGGATGGGACTTCCCTCTCAACACTTTGCTCCATTTTAAATCCTCTTCCTGGTACCTCTGGGATGAGCAGCTAAACTTGTGTAAATTCAACCAGCAAAATTATCCAGTACAGCCTCCTAGCAGTCAGAGGGATCATACTGAAACCTGAACCTGATCTTGTCAGTCCTCTGCTGAAAGCCCTTCAGTTGATTCCCTCTGTAATGCCAATAAAAGCGAAATTGCCTGAGGCCTCTGCCCACCTCTCCCATCTCATGCCACTCTGCTCTCACCACGCTCCAGCCTACTGGCCTCTTTTCAGTTCCTCACATTTACAGAGTTCTTTCCTGCCTCCAGGCCTCTGCCCTTGCCGTTCCCTCTGCTGTTCCTGGGCTGACTCATTCTCATTTTAAAGGGTCACCTTAAATGTCACCTTCTTGGGAAGGCCTTTTCTGAATACCAAAGTGGCCCCCCATCTATGTTAGGTGGAGTCACATTTTATAGGAATTAGATCCTTGAAAAGCGTTATTTAAGGTAAGAAACACATCAAGATTATCCCTGAAAATCCTTAGAGCCCCAAACAGCTCCATGATCTCTCTCCCTCACCCCTTCAGGTCTTTGCTCAAATGTCACCTTCTCAGTGAAGCCTTCCTGACCACCACTCTTTATAAGGAACATTCCCACCCCAGCATTTTGTAACCTATTGGTACCCTTACTCTTCCCCCCACCTCAAAGCTCACCATCTGACATACTATATATTTGGAATTAAGCTCTTAAAGGCAGAGATTTGTTCACTGCCTGTCCCCAGTGCCTAGACTCTGCTCTATACATAGCTAGCTGTCCCATAAATAAAGGTTGAAGGAAGGACTCTCTCAGGTCTCTGCTTAGGTGTCTCTCCCTTTTTGCTAGGTAATGCTTAAGCATTCACAGTATCCTGTATATCTATCTACCGGTATTAAAGAACTGTTGATCACAAGGTAATTTTTCTCTACATTTGTTAATCTCACAAAGACAGGGAGCTTCCCCTAACTGCCAGTGTCACCTGGAGCCTGGGTTTGAGCCTGGTAGA